GTAGTTCCCATTGTCAGAACGAGGGGCAACGGATACTAGATGGAACATAGGAAGTCCAATTTAAATATGAGGAAAAACTTCTTTACAGTGAGGGTGATGGAGCACTGAAATAGGCTGCCCAGGGAGGTTGTGGAGTCTCCATCTCTGGAGATATTCAAAATCCACCTGAATGCAGTCCTGTGTAAAGTGCTCTAGGTTATCCTACTTTAGTGGGAGAGTTGGACTAGATGGTCTCTAGAGGTCCCTTCCAACTCCAGAAATTCTGTGATTCCCCTCAGCGGCACAGGGGGACAGGGGATGAGGTTTAGAGTCAGTTCACAGGCTGGTGGTTCCTGCTGCTCCTTCCTCCTCAGGAAGAAGGATTCCTTACAGTCCTGCCCTGCTTCCCCACGGGGTCCCTCCCATGGCAGAGAGTCCTCCACGAACCTCTCCTTCCTGAGTCCTTCCCACGAGGTCTGGAGCTGCTCCAGCCTGGGCTTCCCACAGAGTCACGGGGCTGCTTTGGGAACAGTCACCTCCCCTGGCACCAGGGTCTTCCAAAGCTGTGTAATCCAAGTCCACTGGCAGCAAATCATAGGTCACCCCTCCTGGCACATTAGAGAGTGTTCCACCATGTTCCTCCACGAGTGCAGGGGGGACAGCTTCCATCGTGCCATAGGTTGCAGGGAAACTTCTGCTTGGGCACCTTCTTCCTCACCAACCACCAGCACAGCTCTGCCTCTCCAGCTCAGCTCTTTCTAACTCCTTGCCCTGCTCAGCTCTTATCTCAGTTCTTTCGTATGTTAATCACAAAGGTGCATCTATTGTCCCTCTTTTGGGTCCTTGGCTGGGTTTGGAGCAGGGGGAGCTTCTCAGCTTCTTACTTGAGTCACCCCTGGGGCCCTTCCCCCACTACCAAAAAACCAACCAGACCAAATCAGCACATCATGAAAGGCATGTTTTTATGTCCTCCCGAACAACAAAGACAATTCAACTGGACTGTATTTAAATACCAGTCCTTTAACTCTCACAGCCTGTGTAAAAGAGAAAATATTTATAAACAGGTGTGTCCAATCACGCAGCATCTAACTTTAAAGTGCTATCAGCTTTTCAGAATAGACACTTCCATATCTTGAAAAGCATATTTTAAGCAAAAACATGATGTTGCCTCAGCACAGAACATTGTACAAATAATACTGTTTTCAGCTAAGTTCCTTCTCCCTAAGGTCACCCAGTAATGCTCAAAGACTCTTGAAGGAAATTTTGTGCAGATTCTGCAATCTAGGTAAGAAAGTTACACAGAGAAACCCCCCACCTATTTGCTATATATTCGCATTTCCACTTTAGATTTCAAATGTAATTTCAAATACGGATACAGTATCATATGTGTGTTATAATTTTATCTTCCTCTAAGCCAGGAATAGAAGTGAAAAAACCACAGGCGCATTGGGGGACAAAGTGTGTTACCGTGCTTCTGAGAAGAGGGCCAACACACCTTCCAGGTAACATAATTCTTTAAAATCAACCCATGGTAGTAAGTCATCATCTAAATCTTACTGATCATATCTGGGAGAAACCAGGGTTTCTCCCCATTTATTACAGTAAAATGATTAATATTACCCACTTTTATACTGTGGGAAGGAATTTAACGAGATGATATAATTATCTTAACAAAACATTTTTGAAAGCACCTGCTTGGCTTCAGTTCCATTTTCCATTTTGAGAGATTTGTGCACCAAAATAGGCAATTTTCCAAAATCAGTCCATAACTCTTGAAAGTATTAGGTGGAAACAAAAGCTTCTTTCCTAAGGATCTCTAAAACAAAGACCTGTGACCAAAATTCTCACTTCCACCAATAATTTAAGGATATTCCTGTAATCCAGAATAGATTTACAGAGTGGACTATATACAGAGAAGGTCAGGGTTAAAACCCCTAAAGGAGAACAGAAGTGCTGTAGTTGCACATAAAAAGAGCTTGGCTACAAAGTCAGCTTAAGTGCTGTGCACAAAGGAAGAACTGAAATCAAGACACTGAGAATCCAGGAAGTAAGAACACCTGAAACACAGAATAAATTCCATGGGTCAACAAATCCAATTTCTTTGTAAAATAACAAGACTTTATTAAACTATTATCACAAAACAACAATTACTGAAGATAACTAATGTGAAGCAACAAAATTAGCACTAGCAAAGGAAAACATCTTTTTCTTCTTTTCAGTCATTCCACTCTGCAAGGGTTACCTGCCTACCTATATTTGCACAGGTTGCTTGTCTGCAGTCCCCAACTGGCACAATCTCCTAGCCAGTGATCCCAAGCAATTGCTGACAATCTGGGCCGCCAAATTCAGTTTTTCACATGCAATGCATTCAGTGTTCCTTTTGGTACAGCAACCATATCAAGCTGACTTTTTCATCAAATACCAGTGGACGCATTCAAGCAGCTGGAAATTCAACGGATTAGATAACTGAAAGCTTATTAGCAAAGTGATCAGTGTACATATGCACACATGGACACTTTTTTTTTTCAAAATAGCAAAGTTTTGAGTTCACAGCTTTTCAACCAGCCCATGAACACAGTATTGAAGCAGCTGAAAATTCCACAACAAAGTCAAGAAGCACCTCTTTTTCTGAAGAGGTTTCCAAAAGCTTTTTTTTTTTTTTAGCAGTAGCTTTATGATTATTTTTGTGCATTATGACTGCACAGAACCACCCTAATTTTTCTGTGGGTATATAATTAGCTTACCAATACATACTCTTACAAAAGTAGTATATTTCCTTTTGGTTGTACAGAAACAATTTCTTAATTTAGAAAACTAGAAATCCATTTTCCTGCCTCTTTTCCTTTACAACTGCTAACCTAATATATAGTACTGTAATTGCCCCTCTCCACAAGAGCTCCCCCTTCTACACCAGGTCCTTCTACAGGCCTCTCTTCTTTTATTCTCCATGCATGAGCCTTTCTGTACCTCAGCTCACAGAAGTAATCTAAACCAATTTATAAAAGATGTAAAAAAAATTACATTAAAATATCCAAAGCCTTTTCACCTGCCAATTTAATAGCTCAAATCATGTGGCTTCTGTGGCCCAACCATTCACACAGAATCACAGAATTTTTCTGGTTGGAAAAAACGTTTAAGATCAGAGTCCAACCATAACCAAACTCTACCAAGTCCAGAGCTTAAACCATGTTCCTAAGCAGCACATGTAAAAATTTCAAACATCTCCAGGGATGGCAATTCAACCACCTTCCTAGGCAGCCCATTCCAGTGTTTAATTACCCTTTCAGGGAAGAAGTTTCTTCTAATATCTAATGTGAACCTCCCCTGTGTTTAAACACTTAACATGCTCTATTACAAATGTTAAGAAAATAAGTTGGAGCATCAAGGAAAAAAAAACTAGCATTACAATATCTTATTAAAGTTTAACTGAAAACAAAATTTAGCCTTCTCTCTGGACTTACTTGTATTTCGAAAGCCAATCCAAGAAAAACATTACATATGTACAAGTCACTCTTGTAGACTGGAATTTGAGTAGCTACTGGGAAGCTGGCACTACAGTATTTTCCAACAATAAGCAACATTATATGCTGAACTGAAAGAGTACTCTACTGCAGTATTCAAACCTGGGTTGTTTGGTTTTTTTCCAAGCCCTTGGCAAAGGTGGGAACTCCACTGCTTCCAAGTAGCTCCATTATTTTCTTGTGACAGCAGGTAGCTAATTAGGTAGTTTTGTTACATATAAATGCCACCAAAGACAAGTCTTTGTACGGCTGTGCTTTGCTTCTGTGGCTTGGTTTAAGCCAAAACCTTAGTCCTGGAAAATCCTAGTTGTATCAATAGCATAATTACGTTTTTTAAAAAATCCATCTGGTTTTAAGTATGCAAGATCTAGTCAAAGCAAATGCCAATTTCAGCTACTAGGTTTTCAAGCAAAAAGCCTTTGCAAAAGACAAGGCTTCCATCACACTACTGGAGATAACAGTGAGAAACAAATCTAAGCCACAGGAGCATTGCTCTACTCTTAACATTGGTATTTAAGTATTTATTAAGCTGGTTTTCATCCATTTATTGAGATGGCTGACATCCACCTGCCACATGTAAAATTTGAAAATGCAGTTAGCAAGCTGCTAAAATAAAGCATTTGGATAGCCTTTGGTTGCATTCTTTCTATTAACCTAATATGCAAGAGCTTCTAGAATTTGTCTTGCTCATATACTTTAACTCTGCCTGAAGCAAGGATGAGAAAAGGTCCCCTGCTAGTATAAAATAGTTCAAGTACTGGAAAAAAGCCACTATTTTTTAATAGCACTATTTGCATAAGCAGAAAAGAAACTCCCAGATTCTCACCAATCTCTAGCCACATTCAAGCAAAGTTTTATTTAAATTTTAAAATACAGATGTTTAATTACTTGGCCAATATAACGGCTTTACAAACTGCATCACAGATAATGTTGCACAGCTTATGACTAAGATCAATACTAACAGCTAAAATGTTGCTAATGAGAGTGCTAGTACAAATTGGCAATTTTAACATTTCAGTTCAAAAACCATCCATTCTTCTAAACCCCACCCATGTATATAATTTATGTAAATACTTATTAGACCCAGTAATCACATGACACTACTAGTCAGGTTAATAAACCTTCTCACTGTTAGAATACACCAGCACAAGGTATGAGTACAATCAAAACTATATGAAATTTTGTAACAACTTTCCAGAAATATTGTTGTGGCCCATCAAATTCAAGCTAAAGTACTGCAGATTTCAAATATTAACTTATCTTCTTAGCATATCTAATGTGTAAGAATAGTTTCTTGCTCGATTCCCAAAAATAAATATAAGCTTTCAATTGAAAGCATTTCTTTTCCTAGTTTTCCGAAGTGGAGTCCAAGGGGATCAAAATGCTTCAGACTTGCCATCAGTCCACTTCAGTACATAAAAGCATCTCCTGTCCCAGAGATCCAAGAGATGTTTTCTTCCAGTGAACTATGACTGGAGCACTCTCTTCATTTTCAGCAAGTCAGTCTGTTTCCATGGCAGCACTGCGGGATTCCTTAGCCACCATGAGTCGCATTAGCTGACTGTGGAATTTCTCAATCTTCTTTACATCTTGTGCCTGGTCTGTTCTATACAGCAAACACTGTAAAAGAAAGTAGCTCAGTATCAGATTTGCCTTGAACTGTTTTTAATCTGTTCACAGCTGCAACAAATTTGTGCTTGGAACACACAAAACAAGGTAAGTACTTAAATTTGTGACATATTGTTAACAGGAGGCAGCACCAACACATACCTACCCTATTTTAAAATACACATCTATGTTTACATTTAAGTTCCTTTGAAAAGCTCATGCCTTCAATTTTTAAATTATGGACACATGATTTATCCTGATATTTTGCTCACTCAAAAAATGTGCTAAAGCTCGGAGTTTTAAGCTGTCTTCTAAGACACTTTTGTTTGTATTTTCTAAAAGTAGAAGCAGATTTTAAACCCAAAATTACTTTCCTATTCTCTATATTCTGTAAGTTTATTTTGCCCTTTACAGTGCTTAATTGTACGCTGTCAGTGACATAAAATCAGCTCAGTATTTCTTACTGAAAAGGATTCCCTCCCCCAAGCCACATCTGTTTCTTAGAGAGTCCTTAATAAGGAACATAACATCTGATTAAGATAAAAAAGAACTTTTTCACATGAAAAGCCTGTACATGCAAAAGGAACAAGAGTAATATGCCAGTGATTTATCAAAGAAAGACTATTCTTGGGGTTTGGGTTGTTTGCTGGTTTTGGGTTTTTTTGTAGTCTAAATAATTTCTTACACCTGTACAGCATGAGTGTGACTGCCCAGGCTGATTTAACAATGAAAAAGCCCCAGAATGCTCCATCCTTCAGTGCTGTCAACACAGCAACTTTTGCCAGTATTAAATTCCTATTTTAATTCAGAGAAAGAGTAGAAAATAGGTTTTTTCCTTCAGCTGTATTCATTCTACAGATTTAGAAGCAAGAAAAAACTTCCTGTCTTTGGAAAGAAACTTGCCAAAAAAAAAATGTAAATAAAAAATGAAACCAACCCTCTGCTCACCTGTCAGTTTCACAACTCCCTGTAACTGGAAGAAGGTGAGAAGGCCAATAACCAAAACCTGTTCACATTCAACAATCACCTGACCTCAACTACCCCTGTGGCAGACTTCAACTAACCTGCCCTTCACTTCCCCAGGTTATCAGTGCCCCATACTCAACACCTCACCCACACTAAGCCCTATCATCCTGTCAAGAAGTGTTAAAGCTCTTTACATCTCTCCCAGGCTTTGAAAATACTAATGCCAGGCTACTTTTCCTGGAAAGAAGAAATCTGATTTTTTCCAAGTCTGAACTGCAGAAAAGCAACAACTTGGCTATAACATCACTAGCACCAAGAACCTGTTGCTGGTGTGGATGTCAGCATGCATATGGGATGGGATCTCTGAACTGCTAGCGAATCTTGTCATTCGGTCTGACAGCACTCCACTGTCTCATGATGACAAATAAGGAGCTTATCCTACGGTTGGAAGATGCCAGTACTCTGAGCAAATTAAAAGGACCACACTCAATATTAGCAAATATATGTGCAAAGATCCTACTGAAATGTTTCAGCAGATCCAAGATTTTTGTAGTGCTTGTTTTCACAGCATCCTAAAATAATTATGTTGAGACCCCTAAAGAACACTGAGTTGTTAGACCTTTTCCTGGACTGTCATTGTCAGTCACAGACACAGCAACTAGGGAAGGTTAAGCACAAAAGTTTTTAGAAAACTGCCACGCACTCTCAAGGTAGTGGCTCCCAAGTTGACTGACAAGAAATGCAAGTCTATGAGAGATAAATAAGCCCTGAAAGGCGAATATGTTCTGTACTTACAGCTACGTCGTCTGTTACTTTGATACAGAGGTTCCCATCACAATGTCGATATTTAAGAACAACGCGCACCTGAAATGACAAACATTTATGAATTAGCATCTCCAGCTAACAATTCTCAGGACGTATCTGAATGAAACCTGCCCAAATTCAAACTACCTTTCATTAGAATTAAGTACTGCTTCACATATTCACCACCTATCTGGTGGTCCTCAGCTCTGGCAGCCATAGCCAGGATGATTTGATAGCTGAACCATCACATTTCCCTGCCTAATATATTAAACTGTTCTATAATAGCAGCACGAAGCTTAACATTGGGCATGTTCAAACCTATTATAAAGACAGCAATGAAACTGGAAACTGAACTGGAAACTTCTGTTTATAAACTTGAAACAGTTAAAAAAAAAACAGTTCTACATGAAGGCTTGAAAGGGATTAACTGAGTGGGTTAAGCTCAACGTTATTACTTTTTGTTCTACGATACCTAAACTATTATGTAAGACAGCCATATGTAAGTCACTTTAGTTAATTTAGGCTAAAAATTATCTAAATTAAGATTAAATTAAGATTGCTTTCAAGACTTAACAAGGCTAAACTTGAAGTCTGAAAGCAAGCATTCAGCTTCTCACTAAAACACCACTGTAGTCACCTGGCCCGATCTTTAGCCTGTCTGCAGTTCTTCTGGGCTATCAAATCACCAAAGACCTCAAAACCACATTTATAAAAGAATCAACATCCTCAGCAGCTGACTGAGCATTAAATGCTTCCTACTGAATGCATAAGTAGTCACAGGGACTTCATATTTATTGTTTCTACTCTCAGCATCAGTTACTAGAAACAAAGCTAGATGTCCTTTTGAGAACGTTCTGAACTCACACTATAAACAGGTCTTTGATGTACAGAGCGACCCGTGCTAATGGTCAACAACCTTCTTGACTAGAAAATATATTTAGAAATTCTTGCTCCGAGATGGCTGTCATCAGATTTACCCTTTTTGTTTTAAAACCTGTCATCTTCCCATCTTAACAGCTGTGCAACAGTACTTCTCTTCACCAAGCAGGGACAAAAGCACAGCAGAGGTTGCCACAAGGAGCAGGCATGGACTCAATAGATAATCCCACAAAAGGCAAGACCACTCACTACTTCGCCTTACCAGCCCATGAAGAACACACACCCAATTCCTTCAATTCTTGTTCCTTCAGTTTCCTGACAAGCCTGACATACCAAACCTTCTCAGGCTAGCTCTCTGGCAAATCAGAAGGAGAGCACTCACACTGTGACTTTGAGGACTATATAAACTCCTTTGTAAATAGACAAGTGTATTCCCATGGATGGCAAAAGACTGCTTTTGGACATGCCTTAAGAAAAGGGGGAGAGCAACTCCTGGCTGCAGTGACATCCCTCCCAAATATTTTCATTTAATGGGAGCCCCTCAGTTAAAGGACAGGGAACTGCTGGAGAGGGTACAGCAAAGGGGAAGATGATATAGGGACTAGAACATATCTCCTATGAAGAAAAGATGAGGGACTTGGGTCTTTTTAGTCTGGAGAAGACTGAGGGGGAATCTTGTAACTGCTTACAAAAACTTAGATGGGTGTCAGGAGGATGGGCCCAGTAATTTTTCAGTGGTAGCCAGTGACAGGACAAGAGGTAATGGGCACAAACTTGAACACAGAAAATTTCACCTAAACATAAAGAGGAACTTCTTTAATTTGAGGGTAACAGAGCACGGGAACAGGCTGTGCAGTGGTTGTGGAATCTTCGTCTCTTGAGACACTCAAAACCTGCCCGATGCCACCCTTTGCAACCTGCTCTAGGCGATACTGCTCTGGCAGGGGGGTTGGACCAGATGATCTCCAGAGATTCCTTCTAACCCCTGATATTCTGTGATACTATAGAGAGTAAGAAGGTAACGCAGAACAATTTATTTTATTACAAGTAGATAGTTGGCAATTGCATATGGTCAACCATGCTAGTTAACAACAGGTGTTAAACACTGCTCCTGAAGTGACCTCTATTTTCAGTGAAGAAAACTAGGCCTCTTTTACAGAAGTTTTATCACCATGTTACTTTTTTTGTGCTACATTTTAGCTAAAATGCATTGCCGAGTCCTGGTGAAGACTCAAGTTATTTTAAATGTTCCCACAAACCATATTCCTGAAAACATTACCAGAAACAAAAAGCAGCCATATACCAAGAAGTTAATTCCTAGAACAAATACTCTTCAGGAAGCCAACACTGAAGCAACACTGCAGCCCAACATGCAACATAAGAGTTAATGGATGTTTTCTTCTAATATTTCATTAAGACGAATTCAAATTACACGATGTTGTATGTTGTACATTCATAAAACAAACCAACTCTCAAAATGCTCTTCACCTAGCACAACTCCAACCTCGGTGTGTAACACCCAGGTGCCCCGCACACGAGCCGCGCCCCCGGACCTGGGCGCTCGCGGATCACACCTGGCTCACGCGCTGCTCACACCTGGGCACCATCTCCCGCCGGACACGGGGACACGCGGGCGTGTGCTTTTTGGGTGGCACATGAGAACTTCCCTTCTCTTCCGTGGAAAAGGAAGGTAGGCCGCAACCAAGCCCAGCAGGTAACCTGCTCACTCGCTGCTTCCTGCCC